TAGGCACAAGACGTGATATCTTGGCGAGCAACCTTCCCCTCTTTCACCCGTAGTTAGCCGAACTACGTTGACTCTGACTTCTCATTTCAGATGAGATACGTAGGCACAAAGCGCCATTGCTTTGCCGAGTCATTTCTTCTTCTTTTGTCCTCAAGCCTTTAGCTAGATAGTTTCAATCACCCTTTTAGATAGACAACAAGCGTGGATCCCGTCGAGTACGATGGACGTGAGGGGTGCTAATACCTTCCCCTTGCGTAACCGACTCCCGAACCCGAGATTTGGTTGCGATGACCGATCTTATCCCTCTTTTCGTTAGGTTTTCTCTGAGTGTTTCCTTTCCCTCTCTTGGGATAAATAATGCACGATGGCGACTCTTCTGTCATTGTCGGCCTCGATTTTCGTAGTAGCGACATCTGGCGACTCTGCTGGGGACAGGAACAACCCCTATGCGAGTCAATCCTAGTGCGTGTTTGTTTATTTTTGGGTGTGTACGTGTGTGCTTTATCTTTCTTTACTTGCTTTCCGCATTTTACTCTCCACATGATTCATCATTGTTGTGCTGTGGGGAGGGATTGTTCCATTGAGAGATAAGGCAGACCTAGGCTTAAGTATAGACTTAGCATTAGAAGTGGAAAGTAGTGGTAAGCCTGTATGCCTTGCATGCACCAGATAGCCATGAAATTCGCGCTTAGACGAGATTCTCTTTGACGATTTTCTTTCTGGCCCTTTGGGCTCGAAGGGATTTTGGATCTGAGGATTTTCGACTCTGGGAACCGATCACTTGTGAGTCAGCTAAGTGAGGCCTCTTCAGGAGATGATGATGTCAAACCAAAAATGGTGAACGTATCATCATTTCTAGAAAGTCTATGACGCTGATGAATTCATAGGATGCCAAACCTTGTCAGTGGATAGGTCCTTACCTCTGAAAGGGATGGGGGTGCAGGAAACTCTAGCTTTCAGACTACCCGGTTCTTTACAGTTTGGATTTGTGTTCTTGATATCAAGGGATCCTAATGTCAGTGTGTGGTTATGACTAAAGCGAAGCGCCGATCGTCTCAAACTACAACGCAACAATCTTGATCCCCTGTTGCATGTGCATTTTGCATTTTCATTTGCATATCATTAACATGTATCTGTGTTGCAGGTGTATTTTTCCTCCCCGATTCTAGTGATCTTTGTTCCTTTTCTGACATGGAGACCTTGAAGAAGATAGTTGCCTACAAGCTCCCTTCTCCTGATATCAATTCCTTGTTGAGTTTGGTTGCTTTAGCAGATCAGAAGGTGAAAGCAGAGTTAAAGGAATCCTATGGGAATTTACTCAGTTTGGTGTGCAAGCCATCAGTGTTCGAGTTGAATGGCTTATATGCTCTGTTCCAGTTTTACGACCCTCAGTTGAGATGTTTTATTTTTCCTGACTATGTTCTGGCGCCGACATTGGAAGAGTACGCTGCGTTACTAGGGGTTACAATATTGGATCAGATGCCTTTTTACCATGTTGATATCGAGCCTAACCTAGCTAAGCTTGCTGCAATTATTCATCTTGACGCTTCAAAGTTATTAGGAAGATTGACCAAGCTGAATGGGGTGTATGGGTTCCCTCTACCTTTTCTGGTTGACAAGGCTTTACAGTGCGCAAAAGACGGTTGTTGGATTGTGTTCAACGCCATTCTTGCTCTGTGTATATATGGTATCATTCTGTTTCCCAACTTACCAGACTTTGTGGATACAGATGCTTTCTATATCCTTGCTTCAGGGAATCCAGTGCCAACATTGTTAGGAGATGTTTACCATTCCATCCGTTACAAGAATGAAAAGCGGAGAGGTAAAAATGTGTCTTGTTGTGTACCCTTGTTGTATAGGTGGTTCTTCAGTCATCTTCCGAAGAAAGGTTCGTTTGTTGCTACTGTTAGCACCTCAAATTAGTCTGCTAGGTTGATGGGTTTATCTGCAGAAAACATCGTATGGTTTGATCATGACATACTTGGCACTGAAATCGTATATAGTTGCAGTGGCTTCCCGAATGTTCCATTGGTCGGAAGAAAAGGCTGTGTTAACTATATTCCCTCTTTGTGTGATTAGACAATTTGGATATGCTTTGAAGAGCCCTCTGTCATACCCTAAATTTGTCCTACCCTTTTGTAAGTATTTTCGCATTTATTGTTTCATGCCGTTTAGACACGTGTCCACCCGAAATTGGGCGTTTTTCAAAAAAAAATTATTTCTGACCAATTAAGGCGTGACACGTGGCCTAACAACCTTTTTGTGAATATTATCTTCTTAAGCTTTTTTCTATTTTTAAATATTACTAATAATGTTTTAGTAATTACTTTTTAATTTCTTATATATATTTCTTTTAATATTTATTTAATGATTATTGTTAATATTTATGTTAATATATCAATTTAATTGTTACTTATTATATTTGTTAATATTTAATTGTTTTGTTAATATTTATTTATTTAGTCATGTTAATCAATATTGTAATTATTAGTTCATATTATTAGTTTTTGTTTATTACTAATTAGTTTGGTTAATTGCTGAAAAATTATAAAAGAAAATAGAAGAAATCTGGATTTTGAATAAGGCCCATGTTCTGCAGCCCATAGAGTGTCCAAAGGGATCGGGTGGCTCTTTAAAAGGGATGAAGACCTAATTTTGGAGGGGCACTATTCACTATCACCTCCAAAGAACAAGAAAATGGCATCCGTTTGGAAACCCACTCCCAAACCCTAAAAACGAAACACTGTTCATCAAATCCCTTTTGAAAACCCTAAAGAGAATTGAATGAGAGCACCTTCCTCCCTCAGCAAAACGGCGCCGCCAGTGAGCCCTAACCCTCAATCGGATTTCTCTTCTTCACACACAAAACCCTTCAAACCACAAGTTGATTCCTCAATCCCTTTTCGCGATGAGCTGTTCATTCACGTCAATGTGGTCGGCAAATGATAGCGGGTTCTCTTTTTTAGCTCATGCGGTTACATTCTAACAATGGCGAAGTTGATGATTCGCAGGCAATTCCGACATTGACAAAGAAACTTGCGATAATCCTCGTGTCGAAGGTTGTCTCGTTAAATTAGGACATCTGTTAAACGGAGTTAAGGGAGTTCGCTTTCCTCTATGACTCAACTTCAATACCATTCAACGCTTCCAGTTGGCAAATTTGGAACTTAAGTGTCGTTTCCTTCCCAACAAAAACGGAGTCAAGTAGCTGCATCTGGTATTGTTTTCGAGTTTTCAGGACTAACCATTATTGTGTTGTTATTCAGTCTTCATTTTAACTTTGATTGAATTAAAGATGCATACTCACGTCTCATGTGCATATTAGGAGTTGTTATAATTATTGCCAGTTTATGTTATTCACCAACTTTGATTCGGTTTGGATGCGATTTGTGATTTTTCTCACTGGATTTGTTGTTCCACCGATCCTCGCTTGTTTTGGTTTAATTATTTGTCGTGTACTGACCAGGGTGATTCTGACACTGCCTGGAGATCTGCTGTGATTGTTTGATTTACATTAATAAAATGTGGTTCATACTAGATAAGTTGTTTGTGATTTGGGTGTAAATTCATGAGAACCCTTTGTATTGGGTTGTACTATCGACAATATTCCCATTATCACAGGTCTTAAGTCTTTTGTTTTCATAAAGTTATCTAGTTGGCTGCGACTGGTTCGTATGCAGGTTTTACCACTTTGAGCGCAATGTTCTGGTTCAATGGTACCGACAACATGTGCATGACACAAACTTTTATCCACAACAAGTGCAGCAACGCAACTCTCGCATCAACAAGATCTGCCATAGCAGCTGGAGTCGCAACATTCTGACTTCGTTGTTTTAGAATTGGTTAGACATGTTTTCTAACTGTGTTTGATGTTGTGCAGGTTGCGGCTTTGTCGAATTTCGACGACAATCATGTAAAGCCAAAGTATATGGAACAACAGGAACAATAACAACATTTTCATAACTATGGCGAGATGACAACAATGGAAGCTACAACGGTTTGCGGCTCAGCTTCTGATTTCATTTGTGATGTTGAGCTTGAATATAAACTATTGGGTCAAAGTTCCTTACATCATCCTCTTAAGGATTCAGTCCTAACCATATGGGAAATCATGCAAAAGATGTGTATATGTTGAAGCTGAAAAGCCGTGTGATAAATGAAACAAGAACCGAGGATTACCGGCATTAACTCAACGCATTAGCCATTGATTATCAGCTCAACAATTCCTCAGCTCACAACGACGCCTCTTACGACAACAACTTGGTGGTCTCGTAGATCGTTGGTCTCATATCCGTGCCGATAGGCATAATTTATGTTTAAGTCTTTGCCTCTGTTGGTGTTTATGCGTTTATGTGCAGGTTATGGAGTTCATGATTTCAAAGCTGAATCCAACTCAGTTCACTTTGACAACTTCAGTAGGCTGATGTCCAACCCGGCCTCATAGCAGCAGGTTCACCGTGACGCACTTTGGCGATGTTTTTCTTGTGTTTCGACCATCATCATCTCAAGCCATGCACAAACCTTCAGTGGTACGCAACTGTCACACATCAAATATGCCGTGGTTTCAAAGCAACACTTCCAAGCAATAATGGAAAATTCAACATTTCGGTAACTTTTCGGACATGTTGCGTTGGTTTATTTTTGGATTTAGTACATGAATATAACTCTGTATTGTGTTGTTGGTAAAAGATTAAAGGTGTGTTTCTGTTTTCAAGGACAAGGTTTTTGTTCTTAAGGATTTATTGTCGAGCAGTTTAGTTTCATATGATTGGTGTGTGTTGGTTTAATAATTTGTGTTTGGAGATTGTCACAGATGCTAATGCTGTTCAAGTTTGTTCTGTTATTAATATTTGTTTGAGATCTGATGCAGAATTGGATTGTTCTAAATAATGGCTTCACTTTTGTTATTCAGTCGGTTCGTCTTTAACTGTCGTGGTACCATGCTAAATATAAATATAATCTGTTTTAAAACTATTTGATGAGCGTTTGGTGAGGCTGCCATGTATTATACCATACCAGATGAGCATTTGATTTTATATTTTTTTTGGATTTCGAAACAAAGATTTGGAAGAGATGCTGTTTCATATATTTTCACGGAGGTGATTGATAATGTCTCTGAGTTGATGCTTGATGAATTTGGTAATGTTGTTATTCAAAAGATGATAGGATTGTGTAACCAAAATCAACTAACTCGGGTCACTCTAATGGTCACTAGCTATGAATGTCAACTCGTTAAAATTGTTGTTGATCTTCATGGATTTCGTTCTATTGAGAAACTGTGTGAGAATGCTACCACCAGAGATCAAAGGCTTCTTATTATGTCAGCTTTCAACCCTGCTGCTATTTTGTTGTCTAAGGATGTTAATGGTCATCGTGTGGTTCTCTCTTGTCTGAGAAATTTCCCACAGGAAGATACTAAGATATTCCTGAGCATTATTGCAACTAACTCTCTGTCGATTGCAAGAGACAAGACCGGATGTTGTGTGATACAGTATTGCGCTAGCCATGCTCAAGGAGAAGTTAAAAATCGGCTGATTGATGACATCGTACTAAATGCTCCATTATTAGCAGAAGATTGTTATGGCAACTATGTGCTTCAACATCTATTGTCTATGAAAATTCAGAGAATCTCAGGCAACCTACACAGGCAGCTTGAAAGACGATTTGTGTATCTTTCCTGCAATAAGTATGGGAGTAATGTAGTGGAAAAGTTTTTCCATGACGCAGGTGTGCATCTATCTGAAAAAATCATTGCTGAGCTCCTTAATTCCCCAAATATATCAAGGCTCCTTGTGGATCAATTTAGAAATTATGTCATCTGTACAACATTGGTGAAATTTAAGGGTAATCCCTACCTTAAGAATGCCCTGCTGGATCTGATCCAAGCAAATTCTCTAATGATGCACATCATTATGTTTGGCAAAAGTTGCTTGATAGGGCCGACAAAAATTGCGTAATATGTAAACATGGGTCTGATGCCTACAGTGTGTAACCTTTTTTATCTTTCTCCTTTTCTGCATCTTCTTGTTATTCTTATCTCTGGTATACTTAGTAGAATTGAATTCTAATGCGTCTTAGGCAGTTATTCATAAACGAATGTGTGTTCCTGCTGTGCATTATTAAAAAAAATATAGTTCGAATTTTAGACGTTTTAATTTATTTTCAACACAAATCATTTTTTAATCAATAACAAAAAAGAACTTTTAAGGTTTAACATCTTTTGAGTTCTTGATTAATCACTATTGGGGCGTACGCCTTGGGTAGTGACATTCGACTTTTCGTTTTAAAATACACCTTTTAATTATTTAGACAAAGAAATGTCATTAAAGTCTAGTAGTCCACATGATACTTTCACTGTTTATTTTAAACAATATTTCATAAATTAAATCAAGGGGTAAACTCTTGAAGTCTAGCACTTCTCGAGTTTTCGAATGAACATTATTAAGGTGTACACCTTAAATAATGTATTGTTCAATTTTTTTTCGTTTTTTATATTCTCTTCTTTGGACAAAGAAATATCATAAGAATCTAGCAATTCTGTGTGATATCTCCATTGTCCATCAGAATATTTTTCGAATGAGAAAAGATGTTGTCGAGATCTCGCATCACGATAATACTCCGTTAATTTGGTTGTGAGGCTGACGTCTCATTTACTAAATAACCGTTATTTTCAAATCCAATCTTGTATTCTCACTTCTCATGCCGCAAACTCTTTCCATGCCCTCAATTCAATTCAATTCTTCAAAAATATCTTTCTTGATTAAAAATCCGAAAGAAGGAGATTCTTGGAGTCTAGCATTCCTTGAATTTTCGAGTGAATAGTTCTCGAGGCACGCCCTTTGAGTCGTTATTCACTCAACCTTTCGACTTTTTCAAATATTAATCATTTTCAAACATTCTCCTAAGTCGAATGCTCGTACACATTCGCAATCCACATTTCGTACATTTCATTCACAACTCCTCATGGTTTCGATATTAGGGGAACCCTCAGGGACTAATATCGTTTCTCACAATCCTAACCCTTGACACGTCGTCAAGTCGGTTTCATTTTCAAACAAATCCTCGATATGTCGTCGAGCTACTTCAAAACAACTTCCTTTTGGCCTCGCATGCCATCTTTCGATTCGATCTTTTCACATACGTTTTTTTAAAACTTACGAAAGAGGGATGTTCTTAGAATCTAGCATTCTTTGAATATTCGAATGAGAAACTCTCGAGGCGCGCCCTTGAGTTGTTATTAGTTCATTCTTTCGATTTCAAAATGTCCAACTCTTTATCTTCAACTTATTCTGTCAATTCCCGAAAGAACTGAGTTCTTGGAATCTCGCGTTCTTTGAATTCTTGAGTGACAAGCTCTTGAGGCGCACTCTTGGGTTTCTTGTCAATCACTCTTTCGTCTCTTTCTCAAAATTCCAATCTATTCAATCTCATCTTTTCGTGGTTGTGCCACGAACTACGACTGCTCTAATTCTTCATTCTCGTCTGAATGTAAGATACGTAGGCACAAGACTGCGATGATCTTGGCGAGCACAATTCCCTTCATCTTCCACTTCCCCTATCCTTTCCCGTAGTCGAACTACGAAGCTCTGATTTCTCATTCTCGTCCGAATGAGCATACGTAGGCACAAGGGCCCCAATCCTTGGCGAGCACCCTATATTCTAACCACCCATCTCTCTTTTGCGTCTTTAACCTTTTAACCTACCAATTCTACCTTTAACAACGAGAAGAAAGCAAGTAAACCTAAACAACACTCCCCACATTTACCTTAAGAGGTTCCCGTCGAGTACGACGGACGTGAGGGGTGCTAATACCTTCCCCTCACGTAACCGACTCCCGAACCCGGAACTTGGTTGCGACAGCCCTGTTCCTATCCTTTTCGCTTTATGAGGTTTTCTCGATATTTTCCTCTCCCGTTTATTCGGGAAAAATAAAGTTCAGTGGCGACTCTGACGAACCGCATTTCCGCGCCTTTCGCGCGAGGGTCGTTTCTCCGAAATGTCTCCGTGATTTTTCGAGGTGCGACACCCTCCTAAGGAAGAAGAGATACATGAATCTCTGTATCTCACAAGATTGCTAGAAGCCGATACTTTGGTCAGAATGGAGTATGCATGGAGTAACATTCACAGACGAGGTAAGGCAATGTTAGGAAAGAGCAACAATCAAGCTTATGACCCCTACGTGGTTTGGATCATGGATAGAGCTGCCAAGTCTCTAATGCCATTTCCCTCAGTTGCGCCCTTGGACCCCGTCATGCCTGAACAACCTACTACCGTGGATATTCAGAAGTACAACCAACTATTGCATGGAAAAGAAGAGTTGGAAAGAGCAAATGAGGAGCTAGAGAAAGAAATTATCCAAATCCGAAGTGAGAAGATTGACGATGTTCATGCTTTCAAAAGACAGACTGAACTTGTTAACAGGCTAGGTACGGATTTGACAAAGGAGACTAGTGATAGAGAATGCATAGGCCGAGATCTGAACGCTGTCTATGGTGTTCTTGCTACCAAAAAAGAGGATCTAGACAGAGCTTACTCGAAGATCTCTAAATTTGACTCTTTGTGGAATGCCACGCTCACTAACAACAAAGAGCGCGAGGACAAACTGAAGCAACAAATCGCCAAATTGAAGAGTCAACTCAGAGCAAAAGACGAGAAGATCTCAGCGGAAGAAGCTCTCAGATATCACAGCGAGCATAAATTGAGCCAAGTTATCGTAGACCTGAAGGAGTGTAGGTTGAGGGCAGATACTAAGAGAAGCAGACTTGAGGCATGCTTTGGAGAAGGAGCATGGGACGAGCACGTTGATAGTCTACAGCGCACCATTGATCGGCGAGAGCAACTCATACAGGGTCTACTCGCCAGACCTGGTCATCCCGAGACAATAAAGCTGCTTGTGGATTTTCGGACTCGCCGTCCAGCGTGACTTTCCTTATCTTTTTCCTTGTATCTTGTTCGTTTCGCTTATATATCGACCATCATCAGGCTTGTTGATTGGGGTCATGTCTATTTTGTACTTAGTTGATATATGCACACTGTCCGTTGGCCTGTTATTATATGAGGAGTTATGATTCTATTCGCTTGTCTATGGGATTCTCCGTGGTTGTTTCTTCTTCTGGAAACTAGAATTGAGGAGGAAATCTCCCTGTTGCATATATACATGTCTGCATTTAGCATCTTTTTTTGCATTGTAGATGCATCAGAACTGTTTTCTTATCTCTTGTCTTCATTTTAGTCTGTTTCATGGTTGCTGATAAAACAGGTCACCGGTACACAACTAGAGGCATTCAGAGAAGAATCATGGAACAAATGCAAGAGCAGATGCAGGAAATGAGAGACAGAATGGCTCAATTCATGGAAGTTATGCAGATTGTAGCCAGTGAGTGTTGCACCCCAAAATTTGACCAACAATTATTTATCCATCAAGTGTTTGCAGGTTGATACCTTAACCAGAAAGTTCAAGAGATCCTCAGAGGAATGGGTTGAAACCAAAGTTGTGTGCTTCATAGCTTGAGAGTTGTGGGTGCTCCTCAGATGATTCTGAGACTTTGAGAATGGACTTGAAGCTTTGAGAAAGGCCTATGAGATGTCTTGATAGCCATCATGAAGCCCAGAGAAGTCATTGTGCAAAGACTCAGAAGATTCAACCAGGAATGGTAGAATTAGGGTTTTGACTGGGTCAGCCCTAGGGTAACTGAAGATTTTGAGAAGGTTGAGACCTAATCCAAGGGCCATGAGATCATGGAACGATGCATAGAGATGTTATAAAGATGATTCCTAGACCAACTCATCATGATTGAGGAGTTTGAGAAGTTTCAAGTCAGGGTTTCCAAGGATTGTCAGTGAAAAAACCCTAATTTGATCCCTATCTTCCAGGCAGTTTTAGCTCTAGATGTGATTGATATCTCATCTTCCCCACAACATGAATGTTGTAGATCTTGTTCTTAGCTTTAATTTGAGTGGTAGAAGTCCTTGATAGGATGTGCAGAGCTCAAGTTATGGTTTTGACAAATTACAGGTCAGCAGAGGTGTGTGAATCTGGGTCCTTGAAAGTCACCCAACTTGCAGACAACTTTTGCCCTAGTAGGATGATTCCTATGATCTCTTGGTCAACATGAATGTTGAAGGGCATCTTCTTAGATTTCTAGAGAGTACTAGAAGTCCTTGATAGGATTTGTAGAACTCAACCTATGGTTTGAACAAGGCAGGGGTATTTTGGTCATTTGGCAGTTATAGGTCATTTTAAGCAAAGGCCATATCTCCTATTTCCAAGCCTCAAATGGAAAAACTCAAAACATGAAAGTTGTTCAAAATGTGATTTTAAGTCTAGAAAAGTGGTCATGAGTTATTGAAAGAGCTTGTAGCAAGGATTTACAAGATTGGGTGAAAATGACCTAAAAATGGCTTATAAGTTGAAAAAGTTGAAGTTGGAAATTGGTTTAGGAGATGTACAAATCCAAAATGGGTCATCCAATATGTCATTTTGACTCCAAACGTTATTTTAAAAACAATGGTGCAAGTAGAATTTTGATTTGAAGCTTAGAAATGGGGGTTACTTTGTAATTCTCATTCTTGCATAATAAGGCACCTAAACAAAACTTCACAAAAGGCAAGGAAATGCATGTTTTTCACTCATTCTTTCTCAATATATCTTGTAATGAGATTTTGAAGCCAATTTGACAAGCTTAACTCATGAGAGATGGTATGATCAACATGTCATTAAAGGAGAAGTTCTAAAACTTTCAAGTAGTTTCCACAAGTTTCTAGATGGATCTAGATCATTCCATGGATTGCTATAAGAAGAGTGAATCTCAATGAGGCCAGGGTTGGTGATAATTGTTGGTGAGAGGTGAGATTAGAGTGTGAAAAGTGAAGATTCTTCCATTTGCAATTTCACATCAAACCTTCATTCTCTTCCATTTTCATTCATTTCTTCTCCACAAACACACTACTCTGATCC